CAGTGCAATTGTATAATTCACAATTGTATAATTCGTTGGCCTTTTTCTCTGCAATATTTGAAGTAAAATGTTTGTAAATTGTATAATTAAGTGTATAACACGAAAATATATATTTTTGCATGTGTATATACAATTTTCTCTCGCTTTATACAAAACAGAAACAGAATTATACACTTTTACGTATAAAGCGAGAGAGGCGAGCGAGAATGGAGAGGGGCGAGCGAGATTTTTGGGAGAGAGACGATGGCAAATTTTAGCTAATGTTTGCTATGGAGCACAATTAAATCAAACCCTAGCTATTCCATTTAATTTAGGTTATTAGTTTGGTATTATATACAATTTTCCCAAAAAATATTTATCATTTATGTTAATAATAAAAATTTTCTAATTAAATATAATAATTTTTAAGAATCTTGGTCTTCGTTCGCCTCTCTCTTTGTCCTTTTTTCTTTTTCCTCTTCTTTTTATATTTTCTACTTTTTCATCCATCTCTTTCTGCGTCAATCTCTCTTTCTTTTTTTTTTTAAATTTTCATTTAAATAATTATTTTTAAATCAGTTTTTCTCATATTTCACTATTTTAATTCAGAACCACGACAAGAAAAGGATTAGAAAAAACAGAAAATTGTAGAATATCATGTTCTCAAATAGAAATTTCAAATTTTTCAAATTTTTAAAATTATAGAAACAAGAGTTCATCATCGATGGTTACTATAAAGATTCAATTTTATGAATTTGTTATTAGTTTGGATAGATTGTTCCTACAAATAAGTAAAATGTCGTTTGAAGTTCATATCCCAATTTTAAAAGGGTTTGGTTAAGTTTAAAATTGATTTTAGAAGAAAAATAAGATTGAAACTCGAAAAATGTGAAGTTTATGAAAAGATATCATGATTGTATTAAAGTTGTATTAGATATGTATCATAATTGTATTAAAATTATATTAAAATCACTAACAATACATTCATAACACATACTACAAACTTCAATCTTTTTTTAGTGATCTAAACTAAAATAAATTAAGTGACACACTTGTAATATATATTGTAAATATCACTCATGTTCTTAGTGATACAGACTAAAATAATTTATAAGACACATATAATACATGTTTTATTCATGAATAACACAAATTTAGTTCAATCTATAGATTATTGTCTTGTCTTTCGTTAGTTACGTTTTTCAATTGTTATTAATTTTCTCTTCGAATTCAACTTTGTTAATGTGTAATACACTTTTAATGCAAGTTTAATTCATTTTGTAGTTTATTATTTGTTATTGTTAGATTACTTGTTTAATTCATTATTGGTATAAGTTTAATTCACTTTATAAATCATTGTGTGGTGTTTCATTAGTTACATTTTTTTGAGGGAAAAGGGTCAAAATTACCCTTCAACTTTGTTTTATTGGTTGATTATACCCCTGCGTTAAAAGCAAGTTATTTTTACCCATGCCGTCAATAAACTTAACAAATATACCCCTCCTTGGATGGAAAGCTTCAAATCAATCAAAATTATCCGATTTTACTTTAATTATCCAATTTTAATCTGACTCGATCCACCTAATAATATGACCCAATGTTTTACCCAAATCAAGTTTTCTCACCACCACCATAGTCACCACCTCTCCAAGATCTCCTTTTCCACCACCGTCAAAAACACCTAATATCATTCTTCTTATTGTAGAGTTGCACACAATAGCTCTAATGTTACACTGTTTAGTCTTGAAAGAAGAACACCTGTGAATTGTTTCAAAGGACTTTACATTGCTAAGAAGTTATATTGGAGGTTAAAGTCATTGTGGAGGAAACTTCTTTCGGGGCAGAGAAATTCTGTTCAATTCAGCTTCGTTTCAGATCTTGAGATCTGATGTTACAATAAGAAGAATGATATAGATGTTTTCGACGGTAGTGGGGAAGGAGATTTTGGAGAGGTGGTGGCTTTGGTGGTGCCGAGAAAATTTGATATGTGTAAAATAATGTGTCATATTATTAAGTGGGTCAGGTCGAATTAAAATTGAGTACTTAAAGTAAAATCGGATAATTTTGATTGATTTGGGGCTTTCCATCCAAGGAGGGGTATATTTGCTAAGTTTATTGACGGCGGGTGTAAAAATAATTTGCTTTTAGTAGTAGGGGTATAATCAACCAATAAGACAAAGTTGAGGGGTAATTTTGACCCTTTCCCCCCTTTTTTTTAATCTATGCTTAATTCAACTTTAATATTTGCGTATGCACTTTTAATACAAGTTAATTCATTTTGCAGTTTATTGGTTGATTTGTTATGATTGAATTACGTGTTTAATTCATTATTGATATAAGTTTTTTTCAATTTACAAATATATAATGCTCTTTTGTTTGCTACATTTTGCATATATTTAATTTTCTTCTTATTTAATTGTAATATGTGTGTAATACATTTTTTCAACTTAGATTTATTTGACAATATATTATGTTTCTTCATTAATTACAATTAGATTATTTGTCTAATTAATTAATTATCTTAGTGATAAAAACAAAGATAATCTATAAGATACATATGATATAAGTTTTATTCATGGATAATATGAGTTTAATTCAGCTTATTGATTGTTATCTTGTCTTTTATTAGTTACGTTTTTCATTCATTCTAAATTCTCTTCTAATTCAACTTTAATATTGTGTAATACAATTTAAAGCAATTTAATTTATTTTGTAATTTTTTGATTTATTTACTATTATTGGATTACTTGTTTAATTCATTATTAATACAAGTTTAATTTACTCTGTACATTATTGTGCGTAATACATTTTTAATTTAACTTTAATATACGAGTAATACATTTTTAATTCAAGTTTAATTCATTTTGCAATTTATTATGTCTCTTCATTTGTTATGATTAAATTATTTAATTAATTAATTAATTATTGATACAATTTTTATTCATTTTACGAATCATTGACCACTCTACGAAAGAAAATAAAAAGAGAAACAAAAAAAAAGTAACATAAAGAGAGAGAAAGTGCAACAAAAAGAAAACAAAACAGAAAAAAAAGAGAAGAAAGTAAGAGAGGTAGAGCAAGAAAAAGAAAAGAGCGAGAAAGAGAAAAAAATTAAAAAACTGGGAGAAAAAAAAAGAGAAAGAGGCGAGAGAGAATAAGAAAATATATAATACTATTATTTTATATTGCTATAAATGGTAATAATTAAAGAGTATATCTAAAATAAATAATTATTTTTAAAAAAGAATTCACTCAAGTAATTAATCCGTGAAAAAATGCACTCTTGGCCTTGTTAATAATTGGAAAAACTACCCAAAATGGCAAACTTCATTTCTTATTAAATTAATATAGTTATACTATATTCTATGGTTATATTTAATTAATAAATAACATATTATAAACACGCCTAAAATTATTTTATAAAATTTCACACACCTAAAAAAATTCCCTTCTTTTCACGCTTCTCTCATTCCTTCTCCCACTTTTCAGCTTTCAATTCATTATCGCAAACCAAAGCATTTATCCTCAAATCACCTTCGTTACACCTAAACTCCTGAATCAACTTTACCTCTACAAAGTATCCACAAAATCAGTCTCTTTGACCATCAAATCATTGCAATCAGCAACTTTGCTTGATTTTCTGAGTTTTTTTTATTGTTTAGATCCTACATGTTTCTTCAAATTCTTATTTTTTTTCTGTGAAAGTGTTATATAGTTGTATGTTTATGATTCATTCCTAGTGTTTAAGTTGAAGAAGGCAATGTCGGAAACAAATACTCCAAGGAGAATCACAAGAGGTACATAGTATCACAATAATTGCATAGTGGAAGTACCGTCGTTTGGTTTGTGTATAACTTAAATTCAATTAAAAATTTCAGGCTCCATTGATGTGATGAAAATAGAGAAGAAGTCGAAATTTCTCAATAGCCTTATAACATTATTTGAATGATGAATTAGTAGG